TCTTTTGACCACCAATATAAGCCCCTGGCCTTATTTTTGGGGAAGGTCTTATTATTTTTGAGGCGCAGGAGGCGGCAAGTGTGGTCACCTCAGGGCTGCTGCTGTGTTGCAATATTTTCTGGGAGGGCTTATTTTTGGAGGAGGGCTTATTTCAGCCCGTGCGCTCCAAAGCCCAATTGGGCTTATTATCAGGGGAGGTCTGATTTTCAGGGAAACAGGGTATTGCAGAGAGAAGTTCCCTGAAGATGGGCTCCATCACAAGTCCAGGAGCTTGGAAGACTAAACCTCTGGTTTCCCAGTGAGTGACCCAGATTGCATCTTGCAGTCAAGGTTTTCTCTACAGTGTCCTCTTCTTGGTGCCCTCCAGGAGTGGTATTCAGCCGGTTCAGGCTGGTTCGGACAAACTTGTAGTGGCGACCTGAGGATGGGCCCAACTCCGCCCACCTGCCCTGTCTCTATGTCATCCTATTTAGCCACGTTTTCTAAGCCATGCACATGCATACAAGCCACACGCACGAGCGAAGTTGCATTCTCACAGTTTCGGGCATGGTGAACCGGTGGTAGAATGATGTGAAACCCACCTCTGGTGCACTCCAGAGCTAATAAGTAGGCCAATCACTCCAACTCAATGAAAGAAAACAATTACGTAATAACTGTTGAGTGTAGTGGGTGTTTGTGATTACACAGATTGCAAAATGTGGGCTGAGGAAGCTAAGTCGGAGCTAGTCAATCATCCCCACCTCCTTCTCTGTCTCGTCTCCTTCCTCCTCCTCCTCCTCCCATCACCCTATTTCCTATTTTAAAATAGAAATTTATTTAAGAGGAAGTTTTGAAAAAATAAAAAAGGGGGAATGAAAGTCAGATTTCCCAATGTTTTGATCTTGTCTCAAGGAAGATGACGAGTTTGACGTGATTACACCGGGTTTTTTTTTTTTCCTGACGAGCTGGACAGCATGTAATCTGTTTAGAAATTGTCATAAAGGCAATGAACCTCCCTTTTCAAATGATAAGAAGTCTGATTGAGACAGTGCTATGACATTTTGCCTGCATGAAGACATGTATTGATTTTTAATTCTGGGAGCAGTGGCGTATGTTTTGCAAAATCTATTCTATTCTATTCTATTCTATTCTATTCTATTCTATTCTATTCTAGAGAATACATGGGCCAATAAAAGCCTGAAAACTGGGTCAAAAAAGCCTTAAAAACGGGTCACGAAAAGCCTCGAAAATGGGTTGAAGAAAGCCTCAAAACATGCCAAAAGCCCCCCAAAAGGGCCAAACCCCCCAGAAAACGAGTCAAGAAAAGCTTCAAAAACAAGCCAAAAAATCCTCAAAAATAGGCCAGGAAAAGCCTCTAAACTTGCCAAAATAGTCCCTAAAATATACCAAAAAGCTTCAAAAACAAGCCAAAAAATCCTCAAAAATAGGCCAGGAAAAGCCTCTAAACTTGCCAAAATAGTCCCTAAAATATACCAAAAAGCTTCAAAAAC